TTAGTCTACGGACTTATCGCTGAGCCATTGGGGTGTGGGAAGGGCTGTATCAATTGACAGCTATTACGTTGAGAAACTTTCTGTGGCATGGTGCTTTTCCGTTGTGATTCAAACATTTATCAAGCTTTATTTATTTACAGAACCATATTTCGTAAGGTGAGGCCACATCATCTGCAGGATTTCTCAAAATACCTTTTTTTTCTTATCGCTCAAAAATTGGTTATCGGCAAATGAAAAATATTAAAATTACAAACACTATACGTCTCTCCATCTAGTGTCAGAGAATCGTACTAAGACTTTCGAAAACTTATTTTTGAATACAGGTTACAACGGGCTGTTATGCAGCTTTACACATCCGTCCCCAAGATGCAAAATATTCTCTTCCAAGGACTCTTAATTTCATTTTCGTGAATGCATTTTGAACTTTCGTTTTACATTTTTGATTATAATTTTTGCAACGTGATTAAATATATATTTAAATACAGTGTAATGAAGTGTGTTTTATTTACAACAAGCTGAGGTACCTGTCCTTTTGTCCAGGTTATGAACTTTAAAAAATGTGTTGGTAGATGCTATTATAAATAACACAAAAATCCTAACTTTCACGCAATTCATTTATAACATAACATATTATTACAGTATTCATTTTTACCTCACCAAAAGTTTTGTATAAGCTTTAAGAACTCAATATGTATATACTTAAAACATGGTATACATATACTGTGCGATGGTCAGGATGACTTTGTACGAAGAGGTAGCGATCAAAGAATCGGTGGTAGGGGTGCTTTCTGTACCCGCTTCCAACACCCAGCTCTTAATGTCCTTCCTCAGTGTTTCACGTGATTAATTAATAGACGGTCATTACCAATAACAGCAATAATGGGGGAGGGGGAGCTTGAACGCCAATTAACATGCCTGTTGTTCCAAACAATGATCCCACAAATTTTGGTTAAGACTGGCTCAGCAACCTAGGAGTAGCTAGGTAACAGACAGACAAACAGACACACATATTTTTGTGCTTTATATATATAGATATTAATTACTTTACAAGAATACAGTTTAATTCTACATAAAACTTTCTGCTCTGACCTCCTGTCTTACTCGATTATTCTTACGGGAAAATAATCTACCTGAGAATACAACAAAGCTTTGACCAGAAGTTGGGCAAAAAAAATGGGGAGGGGGACACCTCAACAGAAAACCTTGTATAATAGGCACGTACATCAGGTGTTAAAAATGGGAAATGGGAATCTAGACGAGGCCGCTTAATATTGAACTTAGGCACATAAACAGCAATTGGAACATTAAAATCTGGATGATCTACCATATGTGAGATGAGAAAGAAACATTGGCATTTTCCAATATATACCAAACAATGTTAGTCTAAGTGAGACATCAGATACAGTAGATCTACAGGTACAAGTATTCAACTAACTGCAACTACATCTTACAAAGAAAACCAGATGGTAAACAGGTTTGAGGACCAACTCAAGGAAAACAAAATTGATTAAATCTAGAATTACGTCAAAGTAGAGTACATCCCCAAAGACTACATGTTGCAAAGCTACAAATCAAAAGCAATTAATCATTTCTCTGACAAGCCATCTCCAGCACAAAATCAGAATAACACCATAATTTAAAACTAAAGTATTCACCTGAATTTTTCCAGATAGATGAGCAGAAAACAGGCTAATATCATTTGTAGTCTAACAGATTGAAAGTTTTACTTTTAGCATTTGGCATGCATCTTCCTCTAACAAATATAACAAGTCTAACAAATCACTAAAATTTACAAGTAGACTTTCTTGCTGACTCTTTGAAGTGAGTGTATGACACATTATCTCAAGGTCTTGGCAAATTACTTGTATAATAACACTGTTAAATGTATTTCAAAAGATGTTCCAACGGAATACAAAATAAGTATTCTCTAATTTATGGTTTTAGTACATATTAAAAACTTTAATATTAGTTTTATATATAAATTAGGGAAACTTTCAGACGCCATTATACATATTATTGTAAACAGTCAACAAAAAGTGGACGTCATCTTGTTTCTGGAACACTGAATAAGTAAAATTAAAAAAAAATTAAATTCATTGTAAAAAAGACATTGATTTCACGTGTCAAAAGAAAATGTAATTATATCAGGTTGTGTTGTAGGCTTTTTAAATATTCAAACGTTTTTATTGTTGTTTGGATAGAGGGAAGTTTGACGTCACGTGATGAGCACGTGCTTTTAAGTCTGCAGTTTTCTCCATGTTTTAGAACGGTTTGAGCAATATTTTTTTGTTATGGATTTCGTGCAAAGCTACACGAGGGCTATCTGCGCTAGCCGTCCGTAATTTAGTAGTGTAAGACTAGAGGGAAGGCAGCTATCACCACCCACCGCCAACTCTTTTACCAACGAATAGTGGGATTGACCGTCACATTATAACGCCCCCACGGCTGAAAGGGCAAGCTTGTTTGGTGTGACGGGGATTCGAACCCGGGACCTGCATATTGCGAGTCGAGTACTCTAACCACCTGGCCATGCCGGGCCATTTGAGCAGTATAAAATACGAGTTAGACTAAAGTAGATAATTGTTGATTATTGCGTTTATTAGTAAGATATATTGAGTCTGAAGTAGTTAGATAGTATTTGATTGAGTTAGTTAGTTACTTCAGAAATGTGATTATTGAATTTGTGTTTAGACGAAACAGTGAGAGATAAACCATATGTTTTGTGGTGCGAGAGAACTGACAATTAAGTGAAACTGTTGTGTAGCGTCAATTGTGAAATTAGGTTTATCACTGAACATTAGTTAGGTTAACTTGTACTCGAAAAAAAAACGCTTTTGTTCTCAGTAAGTATGCTAAACTTTGCCAAATAATCCAAAAGAAACGACCGAACAAAATAAATTGTTGCAACACTTACATTCTGAACGTCAAGTAAAATACAAATTCAAAGATCTAGGTGGTGATTAACAGTAGAATCTATTATTAGATAGATTGTATAAAACGTATTAGATAAAGCACAAAAAATTTTCACGAGAATGAAATTTGTAGGTGATTATAAAATTGCTAATGACAAATAAGAGACGAATAAACCACACAGATTTTATTACTGGAAAAAGCAAGTGTAAAAATAAAACTTAAAGGCATGGTAGAAGCATCATATGAAAAGCGTTTGGTTTAACAAAATCAAAGAACAATATATTGGTGAATGTTTTGTACAATCACCACTTCTTTACTTCAGAATAATAGAAACTAAGCCTAATTTAAGCTTACATAAGATATAAATAAGTACATAAAGATTAATAACACTTTTTCGGCGTCAAAATATTCAAAAGTAAAGGGAAGAAAGAACAGTTTAAGTATGTCTGCGGACTTACAACGCTCGAATCCGGGTTTCGATACCCGTGGTGGGCAGAGCACACATAACCCATTGTGTAACTTTGTGCTTGATTACAAACAAACAAACCATCAGCTACCGGTGTGGTCAACATTTCGCTCATGTTGAGTGATTTTATGTTTTTGCTTTTTACAAGGCCGATGAAGCTCAGGACCAATTTGAAGATCAAAAACATTCTTCAATTTTATGACGTTATATCTATCACAAATTTTAAGCTTTGAAGCTACTTTTATTAGTTTTTGTCACTTGTTTTTTAGTTAGATGTAATATTAAGCCTATAACCCATAGCAAGCCCGTAGTCAGGGGGATTTGAGGATGCAAACGAACCCCCCTCCACTCCCGCCGGAGTTCGTTCGCCTATTATCATTATATTTATTTTTTCTTAGATGATGGCTTCTCATTATATAATTGCTTTTGTAACACTGTCCATACATGCGAAAATGGCATTTTCATATTTATCATAGGAAATTTATTCGAAATCTTTACTTGCAGTGATAATAAAGGAACCATTACATATTTCGGGTTTTTTTTTTTTCGTCCTTGGGCACTAAAGTTACACATGAAACGAGTTCCATTTTGGATAAAAAATAACTCCCTACTTCCAGACCTGGCTACGGGCTTGTGAAGGGGATACAGGGGGCTCCAAATTAACAAAACATTTTCCAGAATTTAGATGTTCCCATAAGACTAAGGTTCATTAAAATGTTTTGTTTTTTATGCTTGACATCAAATATTACTATATCATCAGAAATACCATGTCTAAGGAAATCCCTTGGTTTTCAGTGCTTGATTGATTAAAATACACTGACATCTCATAGTTGATAGGAAATTTATCAATTTTGTGAACACTTGAGTTGAGATTTGAGGAAACGCCAAATTATGTTTTGCCTTCGGGCGCCAGACACCCTCACTACGTCACTGCTTGACCCATAGGCCTGTCCTGATCTCCGGAACTAGATGACGATACATTGATGAAAAATTGGAAGTCTAAAGATTATAGTAATTTAAGTTAGTACTAGTACTTCTAAGTTCAAGCCAAATCGTTAGTACGAAGTAAAACGATTTTTCCTTAGACTTAGAGATATGTATAAACTATGGTAATTTCCATAATAGAAAGTTTGGTTAAAGTTTAATTTATTAGATAAAATATAATGTGGTTTTATAATGCCCAAAATTATTGTATAAATAAATATAACTAGTATTGGCGATTATTTTCGTCAATTGATGCACCAGTAAAAATAATAAAATTTAAACCCATTTGAACTGAAGTTCAAAATATAGACCTAGGAAGTGAGGGGCAGGTATCAAATTATCAATGGTTATTCAGAATGAAGTTCTGATGACTCATATCAGTTTTATGTCTGACTATTTTACCATAAAGCATAATTAAATCTTTGGTGTTAGTTATATAAAATTACTAAGACATTTTAAATATAATTTTTTATGTAATATATATATATATGTATATATAACACAATCAAAATCTCAATACATTTACGTTGTGTGCCGTTACTCGTTCTCACGTGACAACACCGTAGCCTCGGTTTGGTAGAACCTGTTTAAATCTCAGCACTTGTCTCACTGCCATTCCATTGTAAACTCAGTGGTTGTGGAGTGTGTTTGAAACGTGTGTTGGGCACGTGTGTTTTTCATGTATATAAGCAATAATTTCGTATTCATGGAGAACTGATATGTTGCAACAAACGTTAGAACGATAGCAGTACAACAATAATATATAAGTATAAAATATCGCAACATAGATGAAGCCGTAAGTAAATCTCTGTGAACTAAACATTTTGAACACCTTATTAACTTCGACCAGGTAATTTGTAAGAAAATGCAATAGTTTAAGACATACCGGTAAAGAGCATGTAATTAAAAAACCAGGATATGGCGCTCTTTAAAGACACTTTTAAGGTGAGTATAAATTGATATTTATTTTTATATTTGCCTGATTGGGATTGTGTCAATAGCTACTCGTAGTCGTATATAATTTTAATTTTAATACTAAAACATACTAATCAAACCAGTTTACCTTGTCAAAATTTAATTGTTTATAATTTTCCGAAAATTACTCGGTCATGATGATATTGATACCATTACGAGCAATAACACTGAATGTATGGTGCAGTGTTTAAAGTTGTTTAACATCCTGCTCTATAACTCGAACTTAAATGAACTTTTATAATTTATTTTCCATAAGAGTCGGGTGGGAAAAAGACTTATTCTTGACTGTGAAGAAAAACAAGTGATAAAGAATTTACCAGAAATGTAACGATATTTTCACTTTCTGTTAAACACGGTATTTTCATTTCTCGGAAAGTTTCGCCTTCTGAAAGTGATCGCGTTATCAAGTAAAAGGGGTTTGAGTATGCTATAATAAAATAATTTTGAATATCCAAATCAGCAAATCACTTGAAAACCACAGCCAATATATTTTACTGTTAGACATGTATCAGAACTACGTTTTGACATTGTCGTTTCGTGGGTAGTTGTGATGTCATCGAAAAGTGATCGCATTTGGGAATGGTATGTAACGGCCCTTTCGGCCGCAAAATATTCATACATTCAGAACATAAAAATGTGATTATATCATGGATTTAGAAATTCCAAAACGGGTACATCCCTTGAAATTAATGGTATTGGAAAACGAAGGAATATGGGTCAATTTGAGATACCAAGACCATTCAGAAAGTAGTCTGCAACAAGCTGTACTCCAACCGTGGTGAGCAAAGCGTGGCGTATTTTAGCAGGTATATTTAGCAAGTTCAAAAAGTTGCTCACGTGCTCCAGGCAACACAATTCAGAAGGATCTCCGTCTGGAAAAGCGACAGAAGTCACAGTTGGTTCCACGAAATATCCGTTTGACCGTGGTATACCTGAAACAGCTGGAAAATGAAACTGGCATTCATGCTATTCCATGTGAAGACATAAGACTTAAATCATATAATACACTGTATTGTGCGGCTTATTATTGGTGTAAGTTTTATTTCTGTTTGTGCCGACTGGCGTTATAAAAGGACAGGAAGGACAGTTTAACTTAATAATCACCAAATTAGGACGCTGGTGTTATTAATGCTACTTAAATTGGCACAATAAGTTTTTCTACGATGTATTGAAAATGCCTTAAGTTATGTTAATTTTTTGTCATAAAGATCGTTCGGCAGATCAGTGGTAAGTCTACGGAGTTGCAACGCAAAAATCCGGGGTTAGATTATTTTGCGTTGGGCAACGTGCACTAATAAAACAACAACAAGTGTCATAAAGTCAGCTTCACAACTGATGTACCAGACTTAAAATATAATTTTCGAATGTATTTCTAAAAATGGGTTAGAGTTTTGAGGCAACCTTTTACTAAGAGTATTAATGCCAGTCAGTCATTTCCATTGAATATCAAATCGTCTTCTTCCACAGGAAAATGAAATTTCTTGCATTATTAAAAAAAAGTCGTTAACTATTAAGTGAAATATCTTATTTCAGCATTATAAATAAATTGAACCAATTTTATCTCCCTTTAAAAACTAAAAAATATGTTTTTGATTTTATCTAATATGTTCATCGTAAAAATAACGCTTATAAGTGGATATTTTAATAGGGAGTAGAAAGAGGTCAGTGGGCAGTGTTACAAGCAACGTAAAAATAAGTTGATACATATCGACGGAAAATTTTTTATTAGGTCCGGCATGGCCAGGTGGTTAGGGGCGTTCGACTCGCAATCTGTGGATCGCGGGTTCGAATCCCCGTCACACCAAACATGCTTGTCCTTTCAGCCGTGTTACGATCAATCCCACTATTCGTTAATAAAAGAGTAGCCCTAGAGTTGGTGGGGGGTGGTGATGACTAGCTGCCTGCCCTTT